CTCTGGTTTCAAGCAGTGAGCCTCCAGTCCCCCACCCCCTATAGTACATTTCTAGAGAAATCAAATTTCAAGCCTCTCTCTCTGTTTATAGAATTGGAACTCAGCAGTAACTGCTTATCTGTTGTGTTTTGTCTGCCTTCTTATATACGGAGATATTCATCTTGTTTTTTACTATGGCTTTGTCTTTTTAGAGAGCAAAAACTTATATCTTCATTATTGCGACGTACTTCTAGCTAGATGACTAAATTGTGATATCATAACACCATCTTGATTAGTACTCTTTACACTGTAATTATTATATATCATTATGTAAACTCTATCCAGTTGAATATATAAAAATAATAATTTATATTATTATTTGAAAGAGTTCGAAAGTACTGATGTTTAAAAGTGATTTTTTATCCACCTAGAAAAGAGTATCAACTCCAAAGCTACTTTAACTAATATGATAATCCTATTTACAAATAAAACACGTACTTATATACACACATATTAATAGTTTTCCTATATAGCAGAAATAATGTATTAGAAATTAATTATATAACAAGGCTTCTAACCAGGCAGCCTAAATACAGAGTCTGTTCACTTAATCTTTATGCTTATGCCACTGCATGATTTATTACTTACATCGACTTGTCCCTAATCACTAAGATAAGAAATTGACTAGTATACCTGAAAGCTTTTTGGAATGTCCATGCTCAAAGGAGCTCTTTCATACATATCCCAAATTCTTTCCCTTCATGATTTCAGTATTTGATTATTGCTCAAACCTTTCTAAAACATTTGTCCCAGGGTGGAGCTAGCCAGATCTTATTTGGCTTCATCTCTAAATTCTGTTCGCTTTATTTGCATGTTTTTTCTCATGACATCTCCAGTATCAGAAAGAGGAGGCCCCCATGCCATCTGAGAAAGAGCAAAGAATATGTGATTTCAGTCTCTTCTGAGACTTCAACTCTACATAGCCAAATTCCTATTATCTTCTTGGCTATGTCCACTCTTTTGTCCAAAGAAAACAAACCTTACCACAGCTCTGCCTGTTTTCTTGTCTGGTTTTGTTTCTTTCTTTTCACAAGGTCTATGTAATCTGTATGATTTTACTAAATGTCTTCCTTTTATTTTTATCAAAGAATCTTTATGGCTTTCCCTCTTCTATACAACAATTGATTTTCCCTCCAAATTCTTTCTCCAAACAACTAATACAGTGAATTGAGTAGGAAAAACTTATTTTATCTTCTCTAGAATCATCTCTCTCTCTCACACACACACACACACACACACTCACACACATAAACACACACAAACACAAATATTCCCATTCAAACTTGGGTAGATAGACTTTCTGGAAGATAGTAAAAAAAAAAAAAGGTTGGATATTCATGATTTTGAATAAAATTAATGAGCCAGCTGTGTTATATGACTAAATAAAAATTATGCAAATAGTCCACACAGAAGTAGAGCACTTAGAGTTCTGCAATTCTTAGAGTTTGTTAGATTCTCTGTCTGTGTTAATTTTAGTTCAGAATATCACAAGATAAGAGAAATGTGAGTTCAAAAGTGAACAATCAGAAGGGTAAATTGTGACTAACAAGCTTGGAAACATAAAAATATTTGATGAATTTCTTTTTTCATTCTTGTTAGCTGGACAGAAGTAGGAAAAAGGTCTTACGCATAGTAATTGTAAATAGATTGGTTTTCTGTTTGGTTTTGGTTTAGAGATATTCTCTCTCTTTTTTAACACAATTGATCAAAATTGGTTGCTACTATGGTACTGAATTCCTAATAAGTAAAACTTTTTAAGAAAATTATGGATTACTATTTACCTTGGATGTTGAAGTGAACAAATTATATCTCAAATTAGTCCAATAACAGCAGTCATTGATTATTCTAAATATCCTATTAGACAATTCCAACAAAATAGGATGAAAATACCTCACTAATGCCACTGGCAAATAACTTTTTAAAAGTAAGTGTGTTCTTCTTTCTGCAAGAGGCTGTGCTGTAGTTTAAAGGAAAATAAACCAACAACAAAAGTCTAATACTAACCCCAGAATAATTCTAGCTGTAACCTTCCTAAAGAAGTTTACCAGTCAATTTGGAAGACAAGAACAATGCATTACGTATAAAGCAATTAAATGAAAATGTAGTAATTAAATTGGAAGAAAGACGATGAAGCAGAATATTTTAAAATTGATAAGTGGTAAAACAATAAGTTGAGAATTCAAGAGTGATCATAGTAGGCTAGGCAAGCAGGATACATGGAAAAACTAGGACTACTGTTTGACCTTGAAATGACCAACGAAGTCATACACTGAATAAGTCATAGATACATACAAAGTCATACACTGAATACCTGAGCTTAAATAGGCCTATAGACTTTTCTTGTATAATTTTCTCTAAAGTAACCTCAATTGTGTGTGCATGTAAATGTATGTTAATGCATAAACATATATAAATTTGTATCTATAAAGAGGTATAATATATTTGCATTAGAAAGAAATTTTGATAGTCTATAAATGAAACCATAATTTCTGGTAGAAATTCTAAACTTCCTCGTAGGAAAATGACAAATCTTAGACATTCTTTCTTCTCTTGAGTTGGTCCTGTTTATTTACAGTGAAAGAAATAGGTGTATTCTTTCCAAGTTTTGCACTGCTTCCATTCCCAAACAAATAAGGCAAAATGAACAACAGAAACAACATCAAAGTGAAAAATATCAAAAGAAAATTAACATTGCCTAAAATTGAGCCTGTGCTCAAAGTAGAGTTCAAGTATAGTCCTATATCGATTATGGAACAAAACTGAAAGGAGACTCAGAATTGACCTGCACTTGCCCTTGAACCCTGACAAAGAGCACTCTAAGGGACGAAAATGACAAGTGAATATAATTCTCAAAATTTACCAATGGAAAAAAAATACTGATACTCTTTAACTTTAGTAGAATAAAATTTTAGAGATACCACAGCCACAGAATAAAGACACTTAAGATTCCTATAAAAACACCACGGCCACCCCAACCACTCTTAGGTATTTGGCTGATAAAGGAAAAAGAAAAAGAAGGAGAGAGAGTGAGGTTTTTTCACCCCAAATTTAGAAGCAAGGACATTGTTCTGGGGAACTAGAAAGATGTGCCCAGCACAAAGGCATTCGAATACAATTTTTCAGGTCTAATGTGGCCCAACCATGGACCTTCTTTTATTTCTTCTGATTAAGGTCTGTAATACAGACAGGGAATCTGCAGTTTCCAAATGTCCAGATCGCCAGTTTTCAATATGAAAGAAACTAATATTTATCCAATACCTATGCTTTACCAGGCACCATTAGGAATACTGTTAAAAAAAATTTTCTTCATTTGAAGGTACATTTGACAGATGACCTCTAAATTTCCTTTTAACAATAAATGTATCCAATTCACTGGGTTGATGGAGGTAGGGAAAGTTCAGACAGTAAAATCTATACTTTAAGTTCTAGGGTACATGAGCAGATCTTGCAGGATTGTTACATAGGTATACACAGACAATAGAGTCTAAATGAGGAATTACAAATTCACTTAAATATAAGGGATTTGGGTGTTAAGTATAAATATGAGAACTCCTCATTGGGAAGACTCAATGTCTGCAAAGGAGGTTGAATTCCTCGCTCTGCACCTGCAGCAAATCTCTAAGACTCATATCCTTTGTTTGGAAAATGGGCTAATTTTAGATGGAGAAAGTGAGGGGTTTCACTATTTATTTATGACAAATATTCCACACTCATGATTCTCACTAATCAGAAGTTGTTTGAGATGCTGTCAGACTTGACCAATCAGAGAATGGAGTCATCTGACTCACCCATTCTGAGAAATCCCCCACAGACAGTATAGGTTTTAAATTGGCCATTAAACCTGCCTGTGACCTTGTCAATTTTGGCTAAGTTCATCTGGATGGACACATGGTCCTTGGCAACCATAATGCGGTTGCAGGTGGAACATTTCCATCACATGTACAGGTCAACAAATTCAGGCTGGATAGTATCAATTATGTTCAATTACTGAGATATGGTGAGAGTTAAATGAGATCATGTAAAATGTGCATGAAAATATCCATAATCTGTGAAGGACTATGCAAGTGTATTGTTGTCATTGAATGTTGTTAGCAATAGCATGGCCATTTTTTACTTACAAATAAATATTGCAGTTGGCTTATTACTAACTCTAAGAAAGGTTCAAATTGACATGAACAAATAAAACTTCAGGAAAGAAAACTATAGCTCCATGTGGGATCTATGTCTGGTATGGTTATATTAGACATTTTGGAACAATTAATTTGGTTTTGTTGTCTTTCTTCTAGGATTTTTAAACATTTATAAATTCTCAGTGCTTTCTATCCAATCTAAACATTTTACAATATCCTGTGGACCTTACTTCCTTAGTAAATTCCCAGAAGGTAATGATTTGCTCCTTTCTGCTCTCCAAGCAGCTTCTGTGTTAGTGCAGAGTTGCAGATCTCTGTTGGTGGTAAGTTCTATTCTGCAGAAACCCCCTAATCCTCTGTTTACCACAACATGAGTCTATTGCCATAGAAATGATAGCTGAGATCCCAGATTCAACACTACTGACTTCACAGCAGGGCCTGGTAAGAAGAGACTCTAAGCTACAAGGGGGAATGCAATGTATGAGAATAGTAGGCACTCTGTGGCCCTGAAAGAAAGGGTAATTGTCAACATTAGAATAAAAATTCATGAAAGAGCTACATTGTTAGATACGCTGTAGTTTATTTTCTGTATAATACTGCCAGGCTAAAAGTAATCATTTGAAACCTTATGTCATTTAATAGTTTGCTTTCAAAAGGCCAGCAGTTTCCTTTGATTGCATTTGTTTCTTATTGAAATAAGAAACAAGCAGCTTCTAATTAATCTTGTTGCACACTTGATGTTTCTGTGGTCAAAGATTTCCCTTTTCATGATGTGTTGTTTTGTTTGCGTGTTTATTGTGTGTGTTTGTTTTGTCTTGTTTTTATTAACAGAAGAAAGGGAACCTGAACAAGATACTAAAGGTATTGTTTTTTTCTTTCTGCATGGCTTCTTATTAAATTCGTGGATCTTTTCAATTGTTTATTTTTGCTGACCTTATAAACAGCTCTAAGTGCCATTTTTTAAAGAAATAACAATGTATGGGGAATATTAAGTCACAGCGCTTAATCATGTTATTAGATAGGCTTCTTTATATATAACATGCTTACTGACCCTTTGCATTTCTTAAGGAAGATTGAGTCAAAAGAAATGTTTCAATCTGGTGTCTTTGGAAATGCAAACAAAATGAAATAAAATGAATCAGCATGAAAGTATAAATCCCGGATAAATTGGAAAAGAAAGCTACGCTTTGACTAAAAGACTTCATTCTTGGGTAGGGGGCTTTACAGTTTTTGGAGGAATCTTAGAATGTGAAGGTGCCAACTTAGGTTTTTATTGGGATGATTTCAACAAGCTGAGGCGTATTGTGCAATTGCTCCATATCAATAAAAATTAAGTTATTTTCATTGCATATAGACATATATACATAGCGGAATATGTTTAGAAGAAAATAGCTGGAAATTAAATTTATTTGGGGAAAACTCTCCTATAGAACAACAGTTTCCTGTCAAAAAAAAAAAAAAAGTACCTTGCATTCTGATTAAGCCCCAAACTGTGTGCTTTTCTAACCTAAAATTTGATATTTGGGGGATGAAAGTCATGAGTTCTTATGTAATAGAGTTGACTGTAGGAATTAATCCTAAACTAGTATTATTTAAAACAGTATCTCCTTATCTTAGTATCTCATATAAAGTACTGAAAATGTTTTTTTTATTTTTAAATATCAGGTTGCTTACAACTAAATGCAGGTACAAACGCATTTTACCTGGTCCTATGCAATTTTTTTTCTTAATTTATTCCTACCAGTCATTGCTGGTTTGAATCATGTAACCTAAAAACCCTCATCAAGGGAAGCTAGAAAGTAACAAAAGAGCAAGGGGAAAGAAACTCCATGGGAGCTCATTGTGCCTTTGGAAATAACTGCTCAGAAATAGAAATTGATAAAAGACTTAAGTATTCCTCCGGCATTGCTCCCTTACCAAGAAAAGAGAGGTAGTTCATCTCCAGCCAAACCACTCATTTATTTCAGGACTTAACATGGATCCCCTGTCCCTTGGGGCTTTTATTGCACCCCAGTACAATTTCAGAGTGAATTACGCCTTTATCTTTTTGCTATGTATTACTCTGTAAGATGACAACCAATAATAAAATTGATTCTGTATCTGAAAGTGCCTTGAAATAGGGAGAGAATATAACGTGGTTATGTTACAAAAGATTTTGGAACTGCTGGCTTCTTGAGTTCCACTTGCATTCTCCACTTGCAGTGAGCCCTGCAAGTCTGCCCAAGATAAATTAAAGCTCCAAACTCATGAATAAATCCCATGAGAGAAAACCCAGAGATAAATATATGACCTGTGTCTATTTTCCATGCTGCAGATGAACTTGCTGGCCCACAGGAAAGCAAGTGGTTTAGGGCTCACAGTGAACTGGAGAAAGATGGATTAAACTATGTACAGAAAGAGGGGCTTGATGATTTTTTTGGTTTAAAAATCCATATCAACACAGCTATAAATGTTTTCCAACTTATTAAATAATAAATGCTCCTTTTTTAAGCAGTTTGTTTATGTAACAAAACACTTTTATATTCTTTCATGCAAATAAAACACAAAATGGGGATATTCTATACCCATTTTATTTGATGAGAAACATGTCATATAACTTAAGTCGATGACCTAGAATACATTTTCAGCTGTGACTACCACTGAAATAATGGGATTTACTGCCGACCTATGTCCAAGTTTGTTATGGCAGGTGTATTATTATTCATGGAGCTTAATCTGGCACTTATTTTTAATTGCAACTGGCTTTATTGTTTTTGATGCTTGAAAAACATGTCAAAATTTCCTGCATCACCTTTTTACCTTTCAGATTTGAAGATGATAAATTTGAGTATTATGCAATTGCTCAGATAGAGTTGGGTAAAAATATATCAACTTTATTGCTGATAAGGCTGGAGTGAAAAATAAAGATTTCTATTCCATGTAAGAATTAGACTAGCATAACTTCTGTTTCCTCATCCTCCTCCTCCCTACCCCATTCTTTCCCCTTTCACTCCTAGTTGTAGGATGAAGAGACCCTGACCTGGTGAACTTACTTACCTACCACACACACACACATATATATATATATATATATACATGTGTGGTATACATATATACCACATATATATATATACACACACACACACACATATCATGCAGGGTTCTAGAAATATAGATATGTAGATAGATACATAGATTATATCAGTCGGCCCATATTAATAAGCAAAGCAAACCTTGCCCTTGTGATGCTTACATTCTAGAGAGGAGAGACAGACAAAAAACAAAAACAAGAAAACAAATAAATCAGTAATTACCGAATGATTCAGATAGTGGTAAGTGTTATGATAAATTATAAACAAGGGTAAGGGGAATGGGGATGAGAAAGTACTATGATAAGGAAACATTTGAGTGGAAACACAAGAGGCATCTGCTATCTCCTTTGAGAAGGGAGGAAGACTGGGAGGAAGGGTGAAAACTAACTTTCAATACTGAAAAAAAGGGGTTGAGTTTTTATTTTATCATCTGGAGAGAATGTGAGAGTGCAGGAGAAAGCAGCTTCCTTTTAATCCCTGGCCTTTTTGTCCTCTTAACTTAACCCACTGCAATTAACAAAACCCATGGCCAAAGTATATCTGTTCCCTTCAGAAAGAAGTTTATCAGCAGTCTCACATTCAGGAAGCTACCTATAAAATGTCAGTAGTAAGCCTGTACCCGCCTGTGCTCCACTGGAGCCCCAGTAAGTTCCCATGGAGGGCAGAGTAGTACATTAATTAAATTAATTCCGAAGTCACATTGAATCACTCTGTTTTATTTACCATCCCACATGATGCTTGGTTGCATTGTGCAATGTGGATAATCAGAGGTTTTGCAATAAGACCAAATAATATTCCAAATAATATAATAACAGCCAAAAGAAAAAAAAAACTGCTGTAAATTAAGACAAAATAAAACCTTTCTGATTACTATATTTCCAGGAAGAATTTAAAGACCCCAAATTAAAACTCTTGGCTTTATAAATTAAAGCAGCAAGACATAATCAAAATTGTATTATTCTCCAATTTTTTATTCTGCTCCTCTTCAGCCAGAAGGCTTTCATTCAAAAAGACTTTTTGATTCTGAAAGTTCAAGGACATAGTCAATGTTACTAGAACATTTTGCTAGCACTATTTTCCAAATCTCTCAAAGATCTTGCTTGTTTCAGATTCTCAGGGGCAATGGGACCCGTAAGATGGTCATGCAGTAGTCCCACACTCAAAAAATTTAGGAAACACAAGCATAGCCCCAACCCCTACAAGAGTTACTTTAGCCAGATGATGCACATGGATGCTATGTCTCTGTTCCTGCAACTAGAAAATATTAGACGAGTACCTGGATGCACCCTTGCTAGGATGCCTGTCAGTGTTAGTTATCAAGTGTGAATTTAGACTGAGTTGGGAGAATAAGAATCCAAGCAGGGCCACACATTGCATTTAGGTAATATGTCTCTTAAGTCTCTTTCAATCTATAACAGATCACTCTTTCTTTCGTACCCCCTAATGCTAATAATTTTCCCTGTTAAATGTCTGGGTTTGATTGAATTGCATCTCCATAGTGTTCTTTGAAATATTACTCAACCCTTTAATTTTTATAGATTGTTAATTAGATCCCAGGACCTAAAATCAGGCTCAATTTTGGTTTTGGGGGAGAAATTCAGCTCCATATTAAACATTTCATGCCATTCTTTGTTATTTTTTTGTAATCTCTTTCTGCCTTGAAGACAGCATCTTCTTTGTCTCCTGGCTTTTGGGCCCCACATTTGTATATCTAAAATATCAATATCCAAAGATAGGAAGTCAAATTAATTTAAATTCACAAAAAGTCCCCAATTGTCAAACAAATCAAATACTCCTTAATCTCTTTAAATTATGCAATGCTTTTTAAGAGGTATTCAACAATCAAACCAACTTGTGACACTGCTCCGGACCTGTTCTATCATTGTCCCACATATCTCCTTATCTAGTACATGTAGTCTCCCCATACTTTAGTTTAGAATCCAGTCTTCACAAATTTCAATTAACTAGAACTCAGCTTCAAAGCATTGTGCTAATTGGGGCTTCATACACTAATATTATGTTCTGTGCTTAAGTCCTAGAAATCAAAAGCTAGGAGCATAAAATACATTTACAGTATAACAGGTCATCCAAAAGATTCCATAACAGTTTAAACAAACACTGAATTTGAAGTCAGAAGACCTGAGTCCAGGTTTCTCATTCATCACTCTTGTTACCTTGGGAAAGCATCTTACTTAAATTAACAAAGATTTGGTTTCCACATCTATAAAATAAGAGCAAGAATCTAGCTGATCTCTGAAGTCTCTTCCAAGTTTAATGATTCTGTGAATCTAAGTATCCTTCAATTTATAATGCATTGTGAGCTTCAATCCCACTCTTTAAAGGTAAAATTTCTTCCTACATCAAAATAACTTCCTCTTACTTAATCAGTGGGGATTCAACATTTGAAAGGAATATAAACTACTCATTCTCCTGCCTATACTTTATATAAAATATCCTCTTTTGCCCAATATATCACCTGAAAAGTTTGACACAATTTTTCTACCCTCCCATTGTGATACAGTTGAGGATGTAAAACATAATTATTTGATTAATTCAATAAAACACTAGCCTATGCTTGCTCTGGTCAAGAACCCTGTCTGAAACAATACAGCTGTCAACAAAACAGGCAAGGCTTTTGGCTTCAAACAATCTAACGAGAAAGGGGAATAATAGACAAGTAAAAATAAGTAAGGTAATTTCAGATAGTTGTAAAGTCTGTAAAGACAATAATGTAGGCTGATGAAAAGTGAATGGGGGGAGAATTACACTTGATGTTGGGTGATTAAGGGGGAGCTTTCTGAGAAAATGTCACTTAAACAGAGACTTGAATGATCCAAGGAACCCGCTATGTGAGGATCTAGGGGATGAGTGGTCTAGGCAAAGGAAGAACAAGGGCAAGTTTCTATGTTAGGAATAAGTCAGTGTGTCCTTGAGTAGTGAGAAATGTATAGGTATAACATAAAGGGCTTGCAGGCTCGGCCATGGCATTTGGCATTATCCTTAAAAGAGAGCAAACACTGAAGGATTGCACATAGGGGAACATGGTCTAATTTGCATTTTTAAAAGATCACTCTAGCTTGACCACTTCCTACAGAAGCATCACTCACAACTTCTCTCTTCCTAACAGTTTTTGCCAGGATCCTGCGGGCTCCTGAATCCCACAATGTCACCTTTGGCTCCTTTGTGACCCTGCATTGTACAGCAACAGGCATTCCTGTCCCCACCATCGCCTGGATTGAAAACGGAAATGCTGTGAGTGTCATGTGTGTGGGGACTTGTCTGGGGAAGACCCTTCGGTGGTGAATTGCAGGATAGACCATATACTTGTAGTTACCCAGATTTCTGTCATTGGTCTCACCTATACCACTTTTCAAAGCCTCCCAGTATCTTTGTCCTAGAAGCCATTGCCATAGAAATCAAACTGCAAGAGTTTGCTTCTTGTATCGTGAAGAATACTAGAAAACCAAATTCTTTCTCTGTGTCTTTGTGTAAATGGGAAGTGGTAACAATACCTTCCCATATAAGTAAAATAATTTTCATAAAACTCATCAGTGAAAGATTAGTCCCCTGCCAGAAGCTACTTTGATGAAAAGTAATTCGGAATTCGGAATCAGGATTCATGTTAGTTCAACATTCTTTTCATCCTTTTTAATAGTGGTAATAATAACTGATTTATATTAAGTGGTTATTTTCAGCAAGGCCCTATTTCAAGCACTTTACCTACATACATTCATTCATTTATTCATTCTACAAGTGTGTATTGAGCTTCTCAACATCTATCACTATTCCAGGCCTTATAGATACGGGAGTAAACAAAACAGGCTAAGTTCTCTGCCCTCAAAGATCTTACCTCCTCATGGGGAAAGACAGGAAAATATGTGTTGTATGTGTATGGCATCAAATGCTATAGAGAAAAATGAAGCAGGAAAAGGGGACAGAAAGTTCAACCTTAGGAGAAATTAGAACTCTCCTATACTATTCATGGGAATGTGAATTACTACAGTCACTATGGAAAAAAGTATAGATGTTACTCAGAAAACTAAAAATAGAATTGCCATATGATCCAGCAATCTCACTACTGGATGGATATACAGCCCAAAGAAAGAAAATCAGTATATCTAAGAGATATCTGCACTTCCATTTTTATTGCAGCATTATTCACAATAACCAAGATATAGAATCAACTTAGGTATCCATCAGTGGATGAGTGGATAAAGAAAATGTGGTACATATACACAATGAAATATTACTTATCCATAAGAAGAATAAACTCCTGTTATTTGCAACGACATGGAAGGAACTGCAGGACATTTATGTTGAGTGAAATAAGCCAGACACAGAAAGACAAGTATTTCATGTTCTTGCTCATATGTGGGAGCTAAAAACAAATTGACCTCATGGAGATAGAAAGTAAAATGATGGATATTAGAGGCTCAGAAAGGTAGTGGGGAAGGAAGGTTTGTTATGGGTATATACCTATAATTAGAAGGAATAATATCAAGTGCTTGGTAGCTGTATTAGTTGGTTGTCACATCACGACAAAGAAATACCTGAGCATGGGTAATCTCTAAAGAAAAAAGTTCCAAGAATACTTCCATTACTTTGCTGACTTCCTTCAAGCTGGCTCCTACTTATAGCCCCTGCTATATCTGAACTTTGAAATTTTCCATGAATTTATAGGCAAAATGTAACCATTCTTCTCTCAGTAAACCTCTTCTTTTGTGCCAGGTTTCACTTCTTGTGTCTGTTTTCCCTCTGATTCATGTTTATTTTGTGTTGTTTCCTTGTATGCCTAGTTATCTTTGTTTACCTGTTATGCACTGTAGGTTTCAGCTACTTAGTTGATGTTAATTTTTCTATCTAGCCAATCACCTCTCTTTATCTTCCAAAAATTGCAGAAAATGTCTGATCCTTTGATAATACCATCTTTCTATACATTTATTTTTCTTAATTTTATGTTTATCTTTTAGGATTTCGGGTCTATAAACAAGAGTTAAACATGTGAGCTAAGATTATTATTACTGTAACTCAGCTGTTGAATGAACAGGACTTGCACGTAACACAATCTTACTTTCTTTGTCATTTTATTCAGCGAATTCTTTTGCCACTATTTAAGCATACCTTAAGGAGGCTCTGTGATTTTTCTGGTTACTATTAGTTGATTTGAAATCATTAACATCCCAACTTAGTCATTTAAGTGTCTAGACCCAAGTCATAACCAAAGCATCCAATGGCATTCACAGTTCCTCCCTTCTCAGGGATATTGCAGTTTAACTTTCATATAAAAAAAATTACAGTTGGCTTCTTAGCTCATGCTCACTCATTCTTCCCCCATTTCCTAGCTGCTATGTATGATACCAGAAGGATTGGGTGGGAGGTAGGGAGGAGCAATAACTGGTCCAGGAGAGCTCTAACTCAACTGACACACTTGTAAGTTGGCTTTATACCCTCTGTGGCTGCCAGATATTTAAAGCTGACTCTTACCCTCATAGACACATTCATGATTCTTCAGAAATCAGGGAACATTTAAGATGACATCAGTGATGCATTTTCCTCAGGCTAGCCACCTTTGACCACATTAGCAAGCCCCCAATTTGTTAGTTGATGGAAAGTCTCTCTATGTTGGGGTCTAGTCAGTCCCCCAAAAAGTCATCTTGGGAGGATTGAAAATGACTCCCAATCAGATTTTCTATAAAACCTTTTTACTGACAAACTCTGGAAGCTCAGCTATTAATGGTACCATTTGGAGATCAAAGAAGTGTCCCAAATCAGGACATCATCCCAAATTGTGTTTAATGCAAACATCGCAACAAGAATATGGGTGACTTCTTTTTAAAGAAGGTGAAACCTTATGGTATAACTCAAATGATATTAAGCATAATTTCTACCCAATCCAAGGCACTTTCTTTCATGGACTTGAACTATTTCATATCTTCGTGACTTTCTTTTCTCCAAGATTACATCAGTATGTTAGGGCTGCCATAACAGAATATCACAGAAAATTTCTGTGTCTTAAACAACAGAAATTTTTTTTCTTATGGTTCTAAAGGCTGGAAGTCCAAGGTCAAGGTGCTATCAGGGTTGGTGTCTGGTAAGGCCTCTCTTCCTGGCTTGCAGGTGGCTTCACATGGTTACCTCCCTGTATCCTCACATGGCTTTCTTTCCTTGTGTGTGCACTTCTGGTGTCTCTGTGCCTACAAGGATGAGCACCAAAAATCCCAGAGTGTTTTTTCATAACATGGTTCTTATTCCTAAATTGTTTTTATTTCTCTCTTTTGTAGGCCATTATAAAGTTTCTTCTAAATTAAATAACAGTGACTAAAACTAAGGTAAATACTCTGGAGCAAAACAAACAATAAAAAACAGCCTTAAAACAGGAAGTTATCCTGTCATTAGGGCTTGGCACACTGTAGACTTTAAAAGCATTTCACAGCATGAAAGAATGGTAACCCTGAGGCATCTCCATGTAATAAGTTAATTTGTATACTGCTTTTAAATAAAGTTAAACAACCTTCAGTTTCAGAAAGATAGAAGGGAAGAGAGTTCAGAAGACTGAGAGTGAAGTTTCCCAGACCTGTAACCTTATTCAAAGCATCTGGACATGGATCACCTCGAGAACATTATGCTAAGTGAAATTAGCCAGATACAGAAGGCAAATACCAAATGATCTCACTTGTACGTGGAATCTAAGAGTTGAACTCACAGAAGCACAGAGTAGAATGGTGGCTGTCAGGGATGGGAGGATGGGGAGACGGTCATCAAAGAGTGCAGAGTTTCAGTCATGCGAGATGACTAAGTACTGGAGATGTACTGTACCATATAGTGACGACAGTTAACAACACTGTATTGCACACTTGAAATTTGCTAAGAGGGTAGGTCCTAAGTGTTCTCACCACATACACACAAAGGTAACCATGTGAGGTGATAGTTCACTATCTTGATTGCAGAGATTATTTCACAATATATATGTATATCAAAACAGCACCTAGTTCACTTTAAATAGATACAATTTCTATTTGTGAGTTATACCACCAATAAGCTTAAAAAATTAAAAGTCTAATTTTGTTTTTTTTAAAAAAAGGAATCTCAAAAAATAATGCTTTCCTCTATACTTGTACCTGGCCCCACCCTTGTCCCTGTAAAGCAGGGTGCCCTAAGAAGATTGATTGGCTGCAGCCCGAAAGGTGAGAACCAGAACATAAGACAAGAAAGGGAAGAGGGGGAAGGCAGGGAAGAACATGGAGAACAAAATGTGTCAATGTGTGAAATTTTAGTTGGATGTCATAAAACAGGGAAAATGCCAAAATCTATGGCTACCCCAATAACAAAGCATGTCTTATGGCAATGGCACCCTCCAAGTCATATAATTCATTTGTTATTGTCATTTTCACTATCATTTTTGCAAAATCAATTTTCTCATAATTTGTTAATAAAATTGTTTTATTTTATTTGTCTATCCTACATCCTTTCAAATATAGTACATAAAGAAATGAACGTGCTTTTCCAGCTTGTAACTTGAGGCATGGTAGAATGAGAATTAGACAGAGAGTTGGAAGACTTAGCTTGTAAATGCCTCTCTTTAGCTAATGTGATTTGGGGGTCCATTTACTACTCAGACACTAATTTTCTCATATCTATGCTAACACAGATGTCAGGTAGCTGTCAAGATGAACTCTAATGTGGCAACAAGGCTAATGTTCCCTGATTTTGTCCAGTTACAATAAAGTAACTTGGAGTCCCTGTTCTTCTTTACCTCTCAAAGTACATTTCAAGTGTTATTTAAAATTTGAATATTATTTGTCAGTGTGTTTTGCGGCTCTTGTATGGAAATTGTTACAGTTGTCTTAAGCCTTATAAAAGAGTATAAAGACAACCTAAGAAAATTGGGAGACTGACAATATAACTTCACTAATTTGTCTATGTAAAAATAGTAATAAAGAAAATGGAAAGGTGTACACTTTTTAAATTTTTACTCTTTTCAAAAGACTCATATGAGGTTAGAAGGGAAAGATGAATGATTATTTTCTGTTGAAGTTCAGGAATAATAAGAGTAGGATAGTTTAAGATCGTTTCGGTCTTATTGAGACCCCCCAACTTGTAAGTTGGGGTCATTTCACAAAAAATGAAAGGCAAAATAAATTTATCACCTCAGATTCTAAAACAACAACAAAACAAACTAAGTGAATTCCATCCAGGAAGAAAGCAAAGTACATCCGCAGTCCTTATGGTCAGAGAGTGCACGTTGCTCTTAGAGCCAAGTTTAGTTCTTGGTAATTCTACCCAAGTCTGAAAGGAAATCAAGACGACTGTCCACATTGACGCAAATCACAGGACACGGAGGCAATGTCAGGCATTTAATGTTGTAAAAGTAGCAAACTGGAAAGCCCATGGAGGAGAACACAGAGAATCCTATAGTCCTGATATCATTTTTGGTGGACCGAACAAAGACAAATGCAGAGCTGGGAGATATCTGGCACAGAATAAAACAGTTTGAACTGTGGCTCTTCCCTCACTACAAGTTAGTAAACTAATGCCGTAGCATGCTACTAAGTACAATGGGTACTCTGAAAGATGTGACTGTTCCCTTTCTCCCCCTCTGTGAACCTGCTAGTAAACCAAAACCCTGAACAGTTAGAGTCAAAGAGCAAGAGAAAGTCCAGCAACATGCCCCACAGGGATTAGAAAATATCTTGCTTTCCTCCTATGGAAATGCCATACATTTTTTGTGGAAATCTGAATTCACAGATGAACTTCAGAGTGAATGGTAATATTCCTTTTGTTTTACAGTCTTGGAAATAGTTTGGCATGGATAGAGCAGAGCTTACTTTATAAAAAGAAAATTCTCTGTATTTTTATAAGTATATTTATTTAAAGTTATACCAATAATATCCCTGTTATTTTGGCATGCAACTAAAAAATATAGAAAAGTTTCATGTCCCTCTTGCTTTGTCCAATAAACATAATTTCTAAAATATTTCATCAGAATTTTATAAAATAAATAGCCAAATCACCTAGGTTGAGATAGTGCTTTTAAATTTTCTTAAAGGGAGGCATATCTATGTTTAGACATATTTTTAAGAGGCTAGTTTTGGTTAAAAATACATGACCCATGAAGTCCTTTTATCTTACAAGCTGAGTAAACCAAAATAATTACATGTAACAAGTCTTATGTGGAATAATTCAGCAGACTGTTTGAAAGAGCCTAATATTTATGGCTACATTAATCAGAAAATCGATGGAAATGTCTCTCGGTTTATCCCTTTTTCTATGATTCATAAACAGACATTATGACAACTGCATAAATATAAACCCTACTAGGCCACATTCTTTTTTTTTTTTCCCATTTATTTATTTTATTGCATTTTAGGTTTTGGGATACATGTGAAGAACATGCAAAATTGTTGCATAGGTACACATGTGGCAGTATGATTTGCTGCCTTCCTCCGCATCACCTACGATGAGTTTGGGTCCTTTGTAGGGACATGGATGAACCTGGAAACCATCATTCTCAGCAAACTGACAGAAGAGCAGAAGATCAAACACCGCATGTTCTCACTCATAGGCGGGTGTTGAACAATGAGAACACATGGACACAGGGAGGGGAGTACTACACACTGGGGTCAGTTGGGGGAAAATAGGGGAGGGACGGTGGGGGGTGGGGAGCTGGGGAGAGATAACTAGGCCACATTCTAACAGTTCCTCAAGTATTCCCAGCCAGCTAAAACTATTTGCAAGACAGAGCCATTGAGACCAGAATACCTTTGAGAGGTCTTCCTTTGCTAAGGTCAAATCATAAAATTACCAGATTATCCATAGCTGGGGGTAGATTCTCTCAAGATGGCATTATTAATGTATTAATGATACGTTAAGAAGTACTTGACAGGTCTATAGCTGCTCTATCAATTTCAAAGAGTGTTTACACACATTATGTCAGGTATAAATTATTATGCCTATTTAATAGAGACTCCTATCGTACTGCCTCTTTTTAGAAAAAAAGATGTTTTATTTTGATTTTTATTATATATGAGGGGTAAAACATGATGTTTAGATAACATATACAATGAAACGATTACTATAGTCAAGCCAAGTAACAGATTCATCTCCTCACACAGTTACTGCTAACTCAGAAAGACAGAACATCACACCCAGAGCAGAGAGCTGTTTCTCCAGCTCCCTCAGGTTGATATGCCTGAGTGACTTAGAGAACATCATGTATTTCCTGTAACTACCAAACATAGTCACCTCAAGTAAGTACTCTGTTTTCTTTAGGCATAACTTGGTAAAAGCTCACAGTATTAATCCAGACTCACCCCTTTGATCTTTTAAACCTGAGGAACGATAAAAGATCAAAATGGAGGGCAGAGGGAATTGCTTTTATTTTCAGATCATCAAAAATATTAAACTGTTGATCAGAACGATCCATGAAGAAAGAAAAACAAATTCAAACTATGACTAACAGGGCCTGCTGTGCATGAGTCACAGACTGAATCAAGCAAGGCCTCTGAAAGCAGGGGGAAAGTATTCAGGAGCCACTTCGTACCCAAGCATGAACCTCCTAACATGTTGGTCTCTTTGCTGAACTATTTCAACACCTGGATGAAATCCAGAAGAGAGGTCAGGCAGTTTAAAAACTGCTTCTCTTTTCTGCTTAAGGATGTTTTCAGTGATCTTGAGGAAGTGTTTAAGAATGACTTTCTTAGGTGTGAACATGAAAACAGTGGAACTTAGGGCAACATTTGGGGAGATTCCTGGCTTCAAAGTTGTCTCTAAGGCATTGCACATTCCTGCTTCTTGTAAAAGGGAACCATCTTTGCAAAGAATTTTCAAACTGTTCTGGAAAAAGATATTTATAAACAAAATATAAAATACAAAATAACATAAAGTCTGTTGATTGAGCATAGAGGCTTGGGGTCTTCAGCTTTTTTCTCATTGTTGCTTTGTATTAAAATTCAGGAGAGTCCAAATATTTTCAGTCCCTTTGATCTAACTTGGATACTCATATAACAAAACATTGCACTTCTGATAAATATGATAATGATGAATTCAGTTTGAATTCCCAGCTGAGTGCTTGTCTCTTAAAAATATTTTTCTCTCCACTTTGTTAATTTCTCATAGAATCTAGGCTGCTTATCTGGGGAAAATGCCACGATACTTGATCTGACCTGGAAAGATTCCCCAGTTAAGGTAAATTGATAATCACATAAGCCAGTTTTTATCATAAGAACTGAGACTATTCGTGAATGTAAAGAATAAAAAGACAAGCTAGTTGGACAACGTTCATGGCCTAATTGCTACATAGTGCTTGGTGCCAGGGATAGCCAGACACCTGGCAGCTAGGAAGAAAGTCTGACTTACCTCAGGGCTTTCTTCTTCCTGGCTAGTCAAACTGTGAAAATCCTCTCATGCAATACAATAAAATAATTGGCTCCAAAATGTCTCATTCTCAGCCTCATTCCCTGATACTGGACAGAGGAATCTCCTTCAGCCAAGAAGCCAAGTGCAGGCCACTATGGGACCTACCTCCACTCCTTTAAGTTAAAGTCAAGGCATACCACAGCTGATACCTTAATTGTCATTTCACTTCAATTTTCCTGAAATTGGCATCATCTTTCCCTCATATAAGTAGTGTTAATTAAAGATTGGTTATTGAAAATATGGTATCGTGCTCAAGAAAACAGTGGGGAAAAAAAACACCGTTTTATAAAATGCTACCACCTTAACAATGACATTTGTCAGACATGGATTTTGTTCATGGTTGGTTGATTTGTTAAGGTAATTGTTACTCTTGTTTTCTAAGGACTTTCATTTGTTCTCTCTTCTAGGACTAGGGAAGGCACTGTGACATAATAACTAAAAACATAGGCTTTGGCGTTAGACACACTAGGATGCAAATTCTAACTATGCAACCTTGTAAAATGTGCTGGGCAGCTATCTTTCCTATAGAGTTAGAGTAATGTTGACTAATACATATGCATTTATATAAATTCAGCTGTTAATTGGGTGCCAATATTGCAGTGATATCTTGGCTTTTTAAGAACATTTGATTTTCTCGTTTAAATAGTACCTCCTGCATGAACTTCCTAACATGTTGGTCTCTTTGCTAAACTGTTTCAATTCCTGGATGAAGTCCAGGAGAAGAGAGGTCAGGTAATTTAAAAACTGCTTCTCTTTCCTGCTAAGGATGTTTTCAGTGACCTTGAGGTATTATGTGTGTATTATGTATGTCATGCCTCAGAGGCAGACTTGGCTTCAGAAACATTTTTCTTGATAACCATCCACTTATCTGATGCATTTATGGAGAACTGGAGTTATGAAAATAAGTCCGTAAGTCTGCAACCTCTCATGCTTAACTATCACCTGCAGGACATTGAGGACATATTTCGGAGGATCCACACCGTATATTATTCATACCTTGCATTGGTTACCTATGGCTATGTCACACACCAGCCCAAAGTTTAGTAACTTAAACCAATAACTATTAGTGCTCACAAGTCTGTAGTTCAACTGGGTGGTTTTGCTGATTTGGTTTTGCTGCTGAGCAGGACTGCCTGGTCTTGGCTGGTCTAGTTCCTGTGATTGGCAGCTGAAAGGGTGCTAGTTGGTTCAGAATAGCCTTACGTGTACCTCAGATAGCTGTGGTTGGTTCCTACCTGGGGCAATGGGGATAAACAGGCCATGTGTGTTTCATCTTCTAGCATGCTGGCTCTTGGTTATTTATAGGTGGCTCCAGAGTCCATAAACAAGACAGCAAGCCACAATGTGCAAGAACTTTAGTTTCTGCTCATTCATTCCAAAACACATCACAAGGCTAATCTAAATTCAAGTTATGGAGAAAAATGCTATTTCTTGAGGGAAGAGCTACAAAGACACATTGCAAGGGCATGGGCATAGGGAGGGCAATTTTCTTTTTTTTTTTTGGCTATTTTTGCAGTGCACCACATGCACTTGATTATAATCTTAATGCTTTTCTCTTCAAATCTATTGACACGATATAGTAAGAAATCCTTGACTGAGTTCTATCTTTTATTTTCCTTTATTACATCAGGTTTCTTCTGGGTCCATTCAAGAGAGTGTGAAAGACCGAGTGATTGACTCAAGACTGCAACTGTTTATCACCAAGCCAGGACTCTACACATGTATAGCTACCAATAAGCATGGAGAGAAGTTCAGTACTTCCAAGGCTGCCGCCACCATTAGCATAGCAGGTAGGATGCCCCTTCATGTCTGCATTGTTTCAGGAGAGGGGAGAGTTGATACTATTCTACAATATCCAGCATTAGAGAAAATCTTCCTTTTATCTCTTATTTCAGTTGCATTTGGGCTATTTCCTCCTCCATGGGGATACTCCAGAGGTGACCTAGATATGGATTTCAGGAGATTTGCTGCCTGAAAAACTAAATTCTCAAATGCCTGTCCAAGTGATAAGTAACAGGTTCCAGGAGCTTGTGTCTTCCTTCCGTTTTTTTATCTTTTTTTCTTTTCTCCATTTCTCTTTCCTCCTTCCTTTCCTTATTTCCTCCCTCCCTGCTTCTCTTCCTCCCTCCCTCTCTCCCTTCCTCCCTCCCTCTCTCCCTTCCTTCCTCCCTCTCTCCCTTCATTCCTCCCTCTCTCCCTTCCTTCCTCACTCCCTCCCTCCTTTCCTTATTTGCTCCTTTTCTCCCTTCCTCCTCCCATCCCTCCCCCTCTTCGTTCCTCCCTCTTTCCTTCCCTCCCCTCCCTTTTCCTTTTCTTTCTTTAATTTCCTTTCCTTTTCCCCACTCCTCCTTCCCTCCCTGGGTTGATAAAACTTTCCAAAGCTCCCATGGAGAAAGTTGGCAGACATTCAGCATGCTTGTGCCAATTTCTGCATGGCTATTTTTTGTGGGCATTTTTTACCTAAAAGCATGATCCTTGTGGTCTTTCCCTTTCCTGCTTCAGGCAAGCCACAGGTGTTTTCAAGAGAAAGGCTGATACACGATTTCTAGGATATTTGTGTCGAGTTCTAAAGGTTTATTTTTAAAATGTAAATGTCCCAAAGTCTTCTGAGAACATTTATAGAATTCCTAGAGATGGAAATAACCCCTGTATCAGGAAATGCCAGGCATATTATATTCATAGCATGCCTATGGCTCAAGGGTCAGGAGAAAAGTGCTTGGCCTGACATGTAAGGCAAGCACGGGTAGAGCCTGTGCCTAGGGCCAGCTCCCCACAGCCTGCTGTTTCTTATTACAGTGCCACCTCTTTGATCTTCCCTGATGGGGAACTTTCCAGTAATGTCTGTGGTTTGTAATATGAGGTGAATAAAAGCCGTGGATAAATGATAAGGAGCACTGGACAAGGCTGGCCCTCTGGGACAAGTCTATGAAGGAAAAAGAAGACTCCAAAATTAAGGCTCCCTCTCCTTTCTCCTGGATGATATCTCTTCCTACCATGTCTTCTGACATCTTATCGGTTATTCCATGATTATTCCCAAAGGTGGGAAATATCATTCCCACCTATCTATATATTGATAGTACCTATAATATCAGTTCTTCTATGATTATTCTCACAGGTGGGAAATCATTTCTCTCAGAAAATGAAAAGTCTTCTAAAAGTAAATTCAACTCAATTTAACAAATAATAATAATATATAATTAGTAATAGTATAGTAATAATCATATAATATTATATAAATAGTAATAAGAATTACTATTTACATAGCACTTTGATGTTACAAAGTACTTTTATATGCATTTATCAAATACTCTAGATGACAGCCATTGTGTTGGGCAGAGTAAGAGATGAAAAGTTAATTTAAAAATGGGTTCTGCCTTCCAGGAACTCTGAATCTAGAAGGAAAGAAGTTAGTTACATGTATTAGGGCACAGCCTATATTCTGTTGCGGAAGCATAAACAAAACACAACAGCAGAACAAGAGGGGGGAATATCAGGGAATCCTTGGAAAAGAAGTATCATTGGAGCAGATGTGGATATGAGATGACTAGGTTGAAGTCAAAGCTTTCAAATCTGTTCAACAAACAGCAAATCTTTATTCCATCCGGAGTTAATTTTAAAGTATATATATTGAAAAAAGAAAAAACAGCAAATCAGTAGGCAAGGCTAGACCATGAGAGAGACAGCAGGGAGGTGGAAAGTGGAAACAAAGGTTGAAACGTGGGCTCTAGCCAGGTTATAAAGAGGCTGCATAGGTTTAGCATATTATTTCATTGATAAGAAGTCATCTAATGACTTAGAGGAAATAAGTGCAATGGTCAGCTACATCCTCTAGTAAATTAACATATGTTGAAGTGTCAAGAGGTTGGGAAGTGTGGCAAGCTGTCAGGAGGCTCTTCCAGGTGTCATCAGAACAGCAGAAGCAGCAGCATGGGTTCAGGGGGAAGAGGAGAGAGGTACAGGACAAATCAGGACAGAAATAAGGTTTGCAAGTGCTTGAAAACGGCAGTGGACTAGAAGAATGTGTTCAGATGCATCCGATTTTGAAAGGTGCCCAGAAAAAACAATAATATAGAAATACAAAGCATATGAACAGGAGAAGGCCCAAGAGATAATATAATACTAAAAAATGTTGATGCCTTTGAATTACCTGGAATTATTCTAGCCCCGTTGTCTTTGTTTTTTTTGACATTTGATCAAGACCTATTGTTAAATATATTTTAAAAATCTATCAATATATATTTTTAATTGTGTGTGTGTGTGTGTGTGTGTGTGTTTTATATAAACACAGGGAGAGAGAGAAAATCACATTTACATATGAATATTCAATCCAAGAAAATAAACTGATCTAATTTAATTTAACCTGTACTTTCACTGGGCAGAAGAAAAATATTAATGTTACTAATCTTAGGAGAATCTCATTTCAGGTTATTATTCAGTCATTCAAAGACACCCCCTGCCAGAGTTCTTTCTCCCTATTCTTCCTTCCTTCTCTTTCCCTAGATGGCAAAAGAGAAGAGGATTTGTATTTAGGCAGTGGTGTCTTCTGGACACCCTTGGCACCACTGCTACCTGCCAGGTCTCTGGTGAAGTCTGCAGCTGAGGAACTTGTGATTTTATCTCTTGGCTTGGTTTGGACCCAGGGGACCTTCCTGGCTGGCCCAGCCTCTTTGAGACACCTTTTAGAGCAGCACAACCCTCTGCATCTCAGCCAAAGCCTTCATCATGCCCTTGTCTGCACGCATCTCAGCCAAAGCCTTCATCATGCCCTTGTCTGCACTCTGCTCTGCAACCTTGGCAGCTAGGTCTACCTGTCTGTCCCTACTGTGGCCCTCTGACTGGCCTGCTGAATTCTAACTCAGCTCCTTCAGTGATCCTCACGGGGTCTGAAGCAAATTCTAGATCACTTTCAAGGCACACAGGACTCAGGAGAGATTTGGGCTTGCTAACTCAGTTCTACTATCTGCCCAACATTGTCGTGCCTCCATTTCACATTAATGTAGCCATCCATGACAAAGTAAGGGATCCCTATGAGGTGTTTTTCTTAAAGTACCCTAAATAAGAAGTTAGAAAAACTCCATCTGCTTTCAGCTTTTTCCTTAATTGATCAATACACCTCTATTCTAGAATTAGGGTTCAGAAAAGGAATCTATAAAATCTATAAAATACCCCAATTTTTAATCTCCCTGCCTTCCTCCTTTTCACAGCATATCAAGCTGGAAGGGCTGGTGGTCAGGAATCTCTCCCAAACTTTAGTGCAGTAATTTTTAGAGCCTACTCATCATAAGTACAAAGGTGGTTGTAAAGGCAATGCTATAACCACTAAGGAGGGGAACCTAATAAAATGGGTATATCTACACTACACAAGGGGAGATTCATCCCATGGACACAATCTTTAAGATGCTGAAAGGACTATGGGGCATGACTGCCTCCATACTATACACAGCAACATCACCTCTTTATCCCTGTCCTAGCCCAAATGAGAACCTCATCCAGCTCCATAAAAGAACACTAACATGGAAATCTGTAACCTTCAGGAAATGGTATCTTCCAGTAGTAGAAAGAGCCCAAAGGTCTGAGACTGGCAGTATAGGAAGGCCATGTCCTAGGGTGTAGGGAGATGTCATCTTAGATATCAGCATTGAGAAAGACCAGAGTGAGGATGGGGACAATCAGCAATGGCGGCCCAGGAAAAATAACAGCATGGGGGAAGGGATGGTGGGAGCAATGCAAGGATTGGGATGTGGCAGCAGAGGGCAGCTTGCAATCTGCTACAGCAGCAGAGGTAAGCGCCTAGGAAGAGCAGTCATCTCTGTAGGAATAATGGTTGTGTAGACTAGAACCAGCTATGACTTGACTATTATTCATGAACTTGACCATGGCAACGTGATGGAGGTAAGCTTTAGAATGGGGAGAAGTTGGGCATCCTGGAAGTGAGACTTGAAGCCACTCTGGACAGGGGTAGATTTACAGTAGCTATTCAAGGAACTTTGGTAGAGGTAGAGCAGGCAGCATAAGGAGAGGGTTAACCTATAACTGGGACCTGGGACTTTGCCCTTCTGAACTAAAAAGGCAACAATTAAATCTAACCATATACAGAATCATAGTGCTGTACGATGTTCAGAGTCAAGTAAACAAATAAGAGTTGTTACTCAAAAACTGAAAAATGGGAAAGGAAAAGACTAAAAAGGTCTAGAGTGGATATGATAAATGAGAAACATGTCTATTAACTAAAAAACTGCTACACATTTAGTGTTATTCCCTGGAATAAGACCCTTTTGTCCAACACCTGATTTGTTTGTCTGGTTGAATCTCACCGATTATGAGGGGACCTGACATTCCTTGACTTTTCCCAAAATTACCCCAGACAGACCCAATAAGGATATATCATGAGTATGATTGAACAAGACTTCCAAACTCCCATGAGACATCTTCTGCTTCCTCTTCAACCTGCTTTTGTAAGTTAGACCTGCTAGAAGCCCCATGAAGGTCCCTCTGGAATCACTGCGGAAACTACCTCCGTACCTTGGGGTGCTCCCTGGACTGATATTTTAGGAAAATTAGGCTACTTTGATGAAAAAAGGATCCTTGGAGCCTCCTTCATTCAGGGTCATTTGAAAGCAGCATGGCCTTATGCCCTCCAGATCTCCCAGAACTTGAGTATGGCATCTGCTTTCTGCATTTCTGCTTTTGGCCCCTCTCTCTCCTGGCCACCGATGAGGCTGGCCAGAAGTCCAGAGCTTCAAGTCAGATACAGTGCATCTTTTGCCATTCTGGCAATGCTTCCTTAATG